CATTTGGCTGCAAAACCACTCGGTTCAGAGGGCCCCGGGTCATAACCGTTTATCCACATTGCCATTTGACAGCAAAATCGATGGTTAGAGGACACGTACCACGTCCTTACTAGAAGGAGATTGTTTGAGAATGAATCCTAGTGACATTTTCGACCAGACATTAGCTCTTTGTGAGCTAAAGTAATTTTCAGATTTGTCCACTTCGGCAAACTGTTGCAGAGGATGAATGTATTTTGCTATAAAATTAATTCATAATTAATTGATTAATAATCATAATTAAAATCAATTAAACATAATTAACTTTAGTTAATTATGATTAATTAAATATTAATTATAATTAATATAATTAATTGTAATTAAATTTAATTAATTAATATTAATTCATAATTTAAACTAATTAATTATAATTTAAAATAAATAATAATAATAATAAATAAAATCCCTCCCCCCCTTTTCTCTCTAGTTCGGCCAAGACAGGCCGAAGAAATGCACAAGGGGGAGGAAGTTACCTTCATACAGTGAGCTCTCGTTCTCACTCCGATCAAAATGTTGTGACTTCAAACTCGACAGAAAAGGGGCGTCGCCAAAGGAGGCTTCGGGTCGTGGGTTTTGGCCGGAGATAGGAGGAAGGAGACGGGATGGGAAGGCTTTATCGAGGGCTGTCGTTGGACCGGCTTCGGTTCGGAGAAGAGAAGGGCGACGATCTTCAGATAAGGAGCTCTCTCTCTCTCTCTCTCTCTCTCTCTCTCTCTCTTTCTCACTGCTTTCTCTCTGGATCGGAGAAGCAAAGAGATGCAGGTTGTTGGAGTCGGACGAGGCTTAGGGAAGAGGGAGGTTCGGTGAGAGGAGGACTGGAGTAACGACGGGCTGTGGGGGAGATCCGAAGACGGGAGCTTGAGGACTTTGTTCGTGAGAGAGGAAGTAACACCCGAAGGCTTCATTTGAGTCGGGTATTTAACGACGCGAGCGGAGCTACGGATCGCAGAATTTGAGCAGGATTTCTGCATGATTTTCGGGATACGACACATATGGCATCGAACGGCAGGGGAGTTCGGCAGGTTTTGCGGATCCGTCGAGCAAGGTATGATTTTTTAGCTTCCTTTTTTTGTTTCCTTTGGTTATAGCATGCAGGTCAACAGCTGCGCTGATCAACAAATAAACTTAAGTTTGAGCCCGATCATTCTATATGAATAGATATGAGTCAAACAATGTTCGAACCATCAAACAAATATACGATCGTTGCGTTGATCGAGATTTTATTTTATATGTTCATATTAGGCCTTCAATGCCTATTTCAAAAAAAAAATCACTAATAAAAGCATAAAGCCGACAATGATCCCAATTTTTTTTTGTCAAGTAGGTAGAGTCGACAAGGTTCGACCAACAAAATAAAATTTGCCCATAAGTATCCTGATGATGGATGTGTTGACAGAAAATTTCAATCGAATGGGATCCCAAACATGCAGAATGCCTACAAATTCTTATAAAATACATTCAAGTGTGTTTAATGTATTCATGAATGATGTAAATATTTAAAATTCAAATAAAACATCTAAATACTTAAAGCAGAATACCTATCCACCATCTACAATAATTTGTCAAGGTGGACAAAATTGAAAATTACTTCAGCTCACAAAGAATAAATGTCTGGTCGAGGATATCATTAGGATTCATCCTCAACCCATCTTTTGTCAGTAAGAATGTGGCACGTGTCCTCTAACCAGTGATTTTGTTGTCAAATGGTACCACAGGTAAACGGTTATGACCGAGACCCTCTAACCTGGTAGTTTTGTCACCAAATGAAACCATTAAATTACGATCATGGCTAGAGCTCGTATGTTCCCCAATAACTTCAAATCCTTGAGTAATAAATCATATGATCGCTAGGGCACAAAGCGCTTTGTTAGCTAAGGTGGATTCAAATTTATTCCCTTAGACAAATATTCACCACAGGTTTATAAGGTACCTTTGGACGAAACAACCTATGGTTGTCAACAATTATCCTTCTATCAGGTTGGGTCGACTACCTCCTCTGACTAAGTAGTCAGGGATCATGATGACCCGAGATGACAGAAACATGGAATTTTTATCAGGTCTATCACCATTCCCCTCCACAATCCGCTTTCAGTACGGGGTGGTGAATTTCTAATTTTAAATATTAAATTTTATATACCAAATCATGCTGCTACTATACACCGGATACTACGTATCTGTTTGACGACGAGCCTTAATCGAAAGTTCTCTCTCGCTATCGGGAGGGGTAATTAACTATAGGAGCTTGTGCCTATGGAAAACTTTAACTCAGATAATAAAGTTCTCGCAAAATGAGAGAGAAATCTCTGGGTAATATCTTATTCAAAACCCAATATGCGTTCCAAATTTACTTTGGAAGCTACTCGTTAAAATTCTCCTCGACAACTTGAAAAAAAAAGGGATGCGGAGGGGCCGGGGCGTAAATTTTCAGAGCCCACAAATAGCTCCTATATTCGTCAATTTTTTTTTACCTTTCTTTTTTACATTTTGTTTCATTGCAAGATGCCTTGTCTATTCTTCTTCTAGTATTTATCCTCATTAATTTGCTAGTTTTTTTCTTTGAACATCCAAAATTCTTTTTTGGCAAATCTAATGTCTTTTAGAAAAAAAATATCTGAGTTAATTTATGGTGCGTATCTTAATTTACTGAGGAAGTTAAATCTAGAAAGAAGACACGCTAGGCTATCATATTTATAAAAGAAGTTCTGTGGCCTTTACATCTAAATGGCTATCATCTACCTTGAGACAATTTCAGTGGCAAAATACTTCACTTTTGTTGAAATTCCCAGCCAAGTAGGATTACACAGGCTTTTGTCAGTCTAGCCAAAGTCTGAAATCCTACAATCTTAGGGCCTTTAGATCATGGCAACTACTCTGAATATTCTGCGTTTGTTTATATATTAATCAAGAGAACTTTTGTTTCTGGAGCAAAACTTCATGAGAAATTTACTGGATCTTAGTCTGGATAAACACTACTCTAGATCTACCTCTGACCCTGAGATGGTTGAGTTGTCGAAATCTATAAACCATTGAAACCAGAAAATCTTATCCAAATAATTAGACTGCAAAATGCTTTTATATAGCTAATTAACACTGATTTTAAATTCAGTATTTTTTTTTAAAATTTTTTCTGAAAATTTGTGATATTACTTGATAAGATCCGTACCTTCATAAAAAAAAAATTTGTAAGCATTCTCTATTCATAAAACAGGCTGGATTTAAACGCACATCTCTTGAACTCCCTACCCTCGAAAGCAGAATTCACATGGGCCTACAGATTCTATCAAAGCTTCTAGCCATAGTCCTGTAAGGAACCCCACCATTTTAGGTGGATTCATTTACAAACTTTTCAAGTAGGACCCCATCACCACCTTTCTGTATTAATAGCCAGTATGAATTGTTAGGTTGGGCATCATTAAGCAGATTCTTCTAGTTCAAGATATCCTAATCAGAAGGTTGGATTTCAAATTTATTAAATTTATATTGAGATTAGTCATTAGTGTAGTGCGAATGGCTCATACTATTCTTATCTTAAATCAAAGCAAATTCAAAGATTTTGCATCTTGATACCGATTTCTTTTCTGTAAAATCATGCAAGGGAAATATCTTCCTAATTGCAGACAAGTATAATTTTGTTTTTGAATGGGGTATCCACCCGCTGCCACCTCCGAAAGGGTGCTTGGCGGCATGACTAATCCTCGGCTGACCTAGAAGAGACATCCACCCCAAAAACCTCCTGGCCCGCACTTGATTGGGTCCCACTTAAGAGGCGCTGCCGCTCAAGGGGAATCGAGCACGGGTTGGGAGTTTCTAACTGTACTCGCCCACCAACCAAGCTAAGTAATTGTGGGTAAGTACAAATATTTTGCAAAATTGCCAATGATGATCACTTGATTTTGGTTCTGGACTCATCCAATCCATGTGCTAGTGTCATAAAAAGTTCAAGCTTGTGAAGTCCTTTGGCCTCTGCCCTCTGTATCTCTGATAAATGACATCATCATGTTCTCATTATTATATATTATATTATATATATATATATATATAATATATTATATTTATATTATTTGGCATCTAACATTGCCTGTCTTATACTGCAAAAGGAGAAAACTCTAGGTTTGCTGAAGTCATGGTGTGAAGCATCAACTGATCCTGTGATGATTTACTTGATTACTTCCAAAAAAAATAATTGTGCTACCTGCTATTCTAGCATGTCTAGGGGTGTCAAAAAAGGAGAAGTTATTACGTGTAATTATTGGACTGTCTGGAGGCTAATCAGAAAACACCATGTTACTCGATGCACAACATTACACAGTAACAATACACAATAAATTTGTGACATGACGCGTCCTGATTGGTCTCCAGACGGCATCCAGTGACTGCACATAATAATTTCGTCAAAAAGGGGTTGGTTGTCTGTAAGCAGCCAGCTCTTATTCAGCTCGATAATTATTTATTTTTGGCTTATTAAGTAAACAAGCTGAATTTGAACAAGAATTTTCAGCTCATTTCTTGGACGAGTTGAACAAAAACAAGAACCATCTCTATTATGTTCTACTTGGTGAGGTTCATGCTTCATACTTCATACTTGTAAAAATTATTGTATATATTCTAAAATATGAACAGTACAAGTTATAAATCCTCATCTCTGTTCTGATAATGTAGCATTTCAAGCAATCTATGCTCATTTTGCTGGGAAATTATTCCGTGGGGAGTCCGGACGATAAAGAACCGTCCGATGTAAGTGTACACAGTACTTGTGCACACTGTGTATAAAAAAAATCAAACTATGTAAAAAATTATACTCTGTATATACTCACATCCGGACGGTTCTTTACCATCCGGTCTCCGCACGGAATAATTTCCCCATTTTGCCTTATAAAATGCATCATTATAAATAGTTTTGATCTGAAAGTTGGATGTTAATGACATGATATGCAGGCAGTCTTTGTAGGGCACAATCATGGGCTGGATTGGTGCTGTCCATATGAGAAGCTCTGGCTCTGCTTTGCTCGTCACAGTGGCTATGGTGGCTATGGGACATGGCCACGTGGTTCAAGAATCCTTGAGATGACTGAAGATCCCTTCTCTCTGAATTCTTGGATTAGTATGGAAGATGGTAGCAAGCACAGCTACGTTAAACTCTCTTCCTGAGTTGCTCTTCTCATCTTATCTTTGAGCACATGAGAGGTTAACAGTGCCTCAGGGGCTCATTTGATTCTATGTATATATTTTGAACTTGAAACAATCAAATGAGCCACAGGGATTAATTATTTATTTGGATGAGAATCATTTGATTTAAAGAGTCTGAAACTGCCTATTGTTTTTTTTTTTTTAATTATCTTAGGGTATTTCTAATCGAACGTCATTCGTTTATTTGCAGCTCCGGTGAGCGCCCACCTGAATGACAAATGTAAATGTGTTTTTGTGTTTTATCTTGACTGTGAATAGTGCAACGCCATTGGCGTCACACTATTCAGTGATCTATTTTTTTTTTTTTTAAAAGAGATGAGTAAAAATATACATAGAATATATTTTTTTTAATGTTAGAATTGATGTTCGATTGGAGACGAATTATTATTTGATATGGTATTTTGAAGTAAAGAAATATATTTTTCCGTTGGAGATGCCCTTAGGCTTCGTTTGTGACTGTTTTTTTACTATTTATTTTTTGAGGCTGCAATCACAATTTATATAAAGCCACTATTTTTCATTGCATTCAAAAAATTTTTATAGTAGGAAGTTATTTTATATGACAATTTTAAAAAGTTAATTTTTTTCACAATAATTTTATAAAGTAGTAAAAAATTTTTATCAAATCAAGTCATAGGCTTTGTTTGTAACAGCTTTCTTGTTCTTTCTTAAAGTAATTTTTTAGTATAAAAATTAAAAATTTTATACTAAAAAATTATTTTAAAAAGCATCTTAGAATGTCACTTTCTTTAGGGATGTTGCAGGAGATGCCATATTTTCTTTTAAAAAAATGAAAAAAAAAAGCTGTATAAATTTGAAATGGGCTTTTTTTATTAATATAATTTTTGAAAAGTAAGAAAACCTGAAAATGAAGAATTGTTGAGGGCTCATTTGATTATTTGCAGTTAGAAAATGTATTTTGAAAAATTAAAATTTATAAAATTTTCTCATTTGATTGACAACAATTTAAAATCCACTATTGAAACATAATAATATAATATTATTCATCTTAGTATCATGATTGAGAATTTTGGCTACATTAATAAAACTCATCAATTTGAGATTTGCATAAAATTCACTCAAATTTTTCAAAGAATTACAAAAGGGTAAAAATATAACAATTTAAACAATTATTTGCAAATTAAAGCCATAAAAAAATGTCCCCAAACTCTCCCATCACCAAAGCTTATCGACTAAAAAGCATCATGAAAATTTACAAATATACCTTAAAATTTTACAAGTTTTTCAAAATGGGCTGCCTTCTCCTTTACCGTGGGGGCACATGCTTCTGTCGGCACAATGCTTCTCCTTTCAACGCATCTTCTATATCAATGGTCAGACTTTATGGCACAGCTTTTGAATCATTTGATGGAGATTTTTCTATGTTCCATACTTAGATTATTTCATTCACTGATACATCACTTTCATCAACGTTCACTTTTAATCTGATCCGCCCGTGATTTTTTTTTTTTTTTAATAAGAGTAACTTTGAATGGTCCAATTGAGTTTGTCCAAAATAGCATGAAAATTATTCATTTTTTGGTATTTTGTCCAATTAAGACAAATTCGTAAATACATCGTGTACGTAACACTCGAATCCAAAACTTCTTGGTTGATAGCTACAGCTAGCTCCCAACAAACCGATCAAGATGAGCTGCTTAAGTTCTAGAAAAAATTAACGGTATAAATTTTTATATTACATATATAGCTAAAGGGTTGTTCGTAATATGTTTGATTTTATCTGTACGAATAATTCACAAGATTTAATCAGATTTAGGTTTCATTTGGGACACTTTTCTTATTATTTTTATAGCAACTTTTTTTTGACCTCTAACTGTCAGAAACCGATAATTAACTATAGGGGCTTGCGCTTATAAGAAATCAGAACTCAGATAAAAAATTCCTCACAAAATGAGGGCGAAATCTCTGGGTAGTGTCTTATCTAAAACCCAATATGCATTCTCAAAATTCCCCTGGAACCAAATCTCGTTAAAACTCTCTGCCTCCATCGTCACATACACTCAAAAGAAAAAATAGACAGATGGCGCGGAGAGGCCGGGATCACACTAAAAATGGAATTTTCGGAGCCCACACTTTTTAGTATAAAAATTTCTTTAAAATAATAAAAAAAAGTGATCCGAAGTTGTTCCAAACAAGAGAAATTATTTTGTGCGGAGGCCTGACGCAGCTCTATGTCCGGAGTCGAATCGAGTGCAGTCATGTCAGCAGTACCAAGCAGTAACAAGCCATGGTACCGAGCAAAGCAGTGATGTGGCACATTCTGGTTGGTCTTGAGACGACATTCGACGCCCGCACAAAATAATTAGTCCCCAAACAAAGCCTTAATAGTTATATGACAAAGTTTTACTAACTCCTGCTTGAGTTAAATCTTGTCTATGAAAGAGATTGGTTGGTCGTATAAACTCTAATTCTTAGGTGCGAACAAAATCCTAATCTCTTTCTTCCCTTGATCTCTTTTGATCTCTCTGATTGCAGAAAAAGAGTTCTGTAGATCGATTCATCCAACTTGAAAATCAAGCTGTAACTTTGTGTTCTCAACATATTACAAACAACTGCTCACAGTTCAGAGGTAACGGATATATTTCTACTCGCCAGATTCACGGGTATTTTTTCTGCTTACCAGATTCACTAAAAAGAACAAAAACAATTTAAAAAGAATCTTGAATGGTATTTCTATTGGTTGCATCCTGCTTCTTTGCAGTATGACAGATCAAACCCAGTTGTCAGAATTCCTGATAAGTTCCATTTGGTACAACTTTGTCCACATTGGTTTACTTAAAAAATTTTTTTTTTTATAATAATGATTTCCTTTTTGGTAGTCATCATAAAGAAAGAAGTATTTCCTCTCTCTAGAAAGCTACTTTCCTAACCTTTTGAGGCTTTGAGCGTTCTCCATTGGATAAAAAGATATGAGTTAACACAGAGAGAGGGATGAAGACATGACTCCTTTTTCTCTTGATGAAAGCCTTTGGTTAGTAATCACTGTTTCTGAAGAATCTCTGAAGAGAATATGAGGATTTTAATGTTATTTTAGTTCTGTTTTATAGTTTTATGAGTATGATTTCAAGCTTTCACTTTTGTTCGGATTTGGTTAATAGATTTTGTTTTTTGTTCATGTATGAAAATCAAAACTAAATTTCACAGTTCCTTGTGAGAACAGACTCCCATGGCAAAGAGAAAGAATTGGCTTGATAGACTAAAGAATTTTTTTACCTCAGAGACTCAATCGAAACAAGAGAAGGTAACTGCAATATTCAAATTCTAAGCAAAATTCAGAGGAAATGAAATTATGAAACAAACCACTTGTTCTTATCTTGCAGAAGGATAGGAGGAGAAGATGGCTTTTTGGAAGATTGAAATCGAAATTCTCTCCTGCTTTGCCGCCGCCATCGCTGCTGAGATTGAAATCATTAAGAGAGGCTGAGCAAGAGCAAACCATGCATGCAGTTGCAGTTGCTATTGCCACTGCGGCGGCGGCCGAGGCTGCTGTTGCTGCTGCTCAGGCTGCTGCTCAAGTCGTTCGCCTTACTGGGAATTCCTTGTCTTATCAGAGAACACAGGAAATTGCAGCAACAAAGATACAAACAGCTTTTCGGGGTTATCTTGTAAGATCTAAGTTCATTTTTTTTTTCTTAATTTTATTAACATAAAAGTTTTCTAAGGTTTATTATCTTGAAAAAAGAACAAATTGCTTTCTGGAGAATATTTTTAGAAGACCACATAAGACTTTTTCTTCATTTCATAATCAACTTTGTTATTGATTGTCTTAAGAAGAGGAGAAATTATTAGAAGAGTGCAGCTCAAGATGGCTTTCTGAGCAGTCCTTAATTTAATATGTTCAATTATGTATTATTCTGTGCAAATGCTACAATACATATTCAATCCATAAAAATACAGAGTAATACAGATCAGCTCGCATGTGAATCCTGAGCTGAACTGACAAAATAATTTCTCCAAGTAGACTGATTTCAGTATTGATTTCCTAAACGTTACAGTACATAATTTTAAACAAACAGTATGAATTTAATTGATGTACAAATTATTATCAAGTTCACTGCATGTTAGCAGTATACAAATGTGTTTTTTTTTTATTATTTAGTCTTCATTTGAGACGACTTTTTCATTGCATCTTAAAGTAGCTTTTTAGTTCAAAAATTTTAATTTTTAAACTAGAAAATTGCTTCAACAAGCAGGAAGAAAGCCATCCCAAACGAAGCCTTGTCTTCGTTTGGGAAGGCTTTCTCACTGCTTCTTAAAACAACTTTTTAGTTCAAAATTTTTAATTTTTAAACTAGAAAGCTGCTTCAAGAAGCGGAAAAAAAGTCATCCCAAACGAAGCCTTAATTTACCTTTCTGAACATACCATTGAATTTTCAAATATGATTCAGAATAGTCTAACTGTTTGATTATTTTAAATCAGATTTGACAAGTCAATCTGATGAGTCAAGTGATTGAATTGGACACATTAGATAGTTTGGGATTAAAACGACCCCCATAAATAGTCCATAAATTGGTTCATAATATAAACACTCAACTATGAGATTAGTACTATACTCAATCTTATGGGCATTTCTTGGCATGTTGTGTCACAATTTAGGCAAGGAGAGCATTGAGAGCTCTGAAAGGTCTGGTTAAGCTTCAAGCACTAATTCGCGGACAAGCTGTGAGGCGCCAAACAAATATTACTCTAAAAGGTCTGAAGTCCCTTATGAAGATACAATCACAAGCTTGTGCAAATCGAATGAAAACAGCTGCCCATAATCAGTCAAATGAAGATAAAGATGTTTTTCATCTGAAAGCGTTGAAAGATAGACTAACCGTTCATACACAGGCTCAAGTAAGTAGAGAGATCAAAATCTTGTTCTCATCATCTTTTGTTCATTTGTTTATTTTTTTGGGTAGAAACATACAATCTTATATTGCTAGGCTATATCTATTGTTTGACATACATAGAGCATGAGGCTCTCAGCCTGCTAAAGGTTTGATAAAAGAGGTAGAAAGGATTACTCAGCATTTTATAGAGTTGTTTACATGATTCTAATTTGTGACTTTGAGGTCACAATGATGGAAATCTAGTTAGTATGAGTAAATGATAGAAATGGCCTTTAGAATTTTTAGATGTGTTCATTTTAGCCCTAAATTTCCTAAGGTGTTTAATTTAGTCTTGTAACTATTGAAATTTGAACTAATATAGTCTTACCATCACCTTTGTCATTTCTTTAGATTGAAATTAATGGGGGGAAGTTTTCTATACATACTTTGAACTTTTTAGGTCAATTTCATTAGTATGAGCTGGTATTAGATAATGATATTGACCCTAACAAGTTCAAAATGTAAACAGATTTAATCGTAGGTTGAGCTTTGTTGGGTAGATGAGGAGTAAACACCACAATGACGAAACAAACAAGAAAGTAAAAGCAGCGTAAAAGTAAAAGGCACTAGAATTTAATGTGGAAAAACCCAAACTAGGGGAAAAACCACGGAGCCACACCAAGAAATCCACTATGAAAATTGGGAGAAATAAGTATAGATCTCTCTTCTCTCTCAGTCTCTCCTTGCTTCTCTTCTCACATGCACCGTTTTCAATGTCTACACACACAAAATGCAAGAGAAAGCCAAGTAAAATAACCCCAAGGGATGCAACCCCTTAGAAAAATGAGAAAGAAAACTGTCAAGTCCATCTCGCAGTGCTACGGCACTGAAGCCTACGCCTTGCACCGCTGAAGCGCCATATATATATCATTGTGGTGCTCTGCTCTCTATTGTTTTGCACTGGGGTGCTCGGGAATATAGCGCCGAGGCGCTCGAGTATGCTGCGCCGAGTCTTTGTACGAAAAAAAAATATAATTCAGGTGCTCTTCTCCCCGCACCCCCCAGTGAACACGACAAACTTTAAAGTCTGAGACAATAGAATAATCAGATTGATCAACACATTCAAATTCCACACATAACAAACTTGTATAGAGAGGAGAATCTTCTTATGTTTGTAAAAGAGAAAATAGGGTTGTTATTCTCTACAATCATATCATAGTACTAAAATGTAGCTATCACTTAGATAAACCTATACGTTGGTCTTCTTCTCTAATTTCTAATTTTTTCACTCTTGATGATTAAATTAGGCTCATCTATTTCCCAACTAAGAATGCTCATCCCTACTATAGATTCTTTCCCTGTTACATGAAACTAAAATTCTATGAAATAATGGTATATTTTATGGGCATATAATAATTTCTACTCTATTATGTCTACTTCAGCATTCTAATATTTGAAAGAATCACATAAAATCTATATATCCTCCATTTTTTCTTTGTGATTTTGTTTCTTTTGAGTACTTGACATTGTTTTCAGCAGTCAGTTCTGGCCTACCCAGAACTGCTCCAAATTCCTAGTCCTCAACAGCGCAATACAATTAGTTACGCATTGCTTTCTCTCAGTTAACCTATTAATAACAATTTGAAGTCATTTCAAGATTAAACAAAATATTTCAATCTATTTCTTCAGCATAGTGACAGAATGTGGAATGGCAGCATCTTGTCAAAGGACGAAATCATTTCTCTTCTAAGAAAACGTCAAGAAGCTGCCTTCAAGCGAGAGAGAGCCATGGACTATGCATCTACATATCAAGTAAGCAACTTTTCATCAAATTTGCATAAAATTTGCATAATTTAATTTGTTCATCACTGATGCATTCCTAACTCTTCATCAGGAGAGGAGACATTTTGCAAATCCAACAACACCTATATCGGATCATGAGTTAAACACCAACACTCGTCATGCAAACTGGAGCTGGCTTGACTCCCAACCTCAAGATAAGGACATCCATGAGGTTTCACCATTACAATGCCGAGACCGAATTGCCCGAAATCAACAGCTTCTTGCTTCAGAATCACCATCTGAGCATAAAGGAAAAGCTGAAGATTTTGAGATCGTGTATCAGGCAAGGAGATCTTTTAACCGATCCGAGCGAGCCCAATCAAAGGATGATGATTTTTTCTCAAGCTCACCTTATTTTCCAAGCTACATGGCATCCACAGCTTCAACAAAGGCTAAGTTCAGATCAGCAAGCACACCGAAACAGCGACAAGGAACATTGAATTCATCTGATCATTGCAGTCTCAACAAAGACAAACTTCTTTCACCCTTGCCATTTGTAAAGACTCCTTTGAATCATCAAAGATCACCAAGGTTGAGAGGCAATTCAGGCCCTGCAAAACACTTTAGTATTGACTCTGAAAGGTCCTTGGTAAGCTGGGAGAAAAGTAGTCCTTTTAGGTGAAGTTTGATGTTGTTGATTGCAACATATAAGTATTTTGCTTGTTGCTGTATTGTTATATCAACATTTCTTCAGTCTCCATTTGCTTTGTGAGTTCAATAGCTTATGCTTTTGTGTTCAGGCCTGTATTGTTTCTTCCAGAAAGCCAGATCTTTGAAATCTTTTTAGGAGATTAAAGACATCCAAGTCCAACTATAGAATCATCATTAGATTTATCCCAACTATTCGGATGTAGGCTCCATAAATTTTCATCTTCATTCTGTCCTGTATTTTTTTTTCAAAATATTTTGAACTTATGTCCATCATATCTTAATTCTATCCGTTTTTTCTTCCTAATTCTATGATATTAGTTTTATATACTCATCTAATTAATGCATTTTGAATAATGACAAATGATAACCTTTTTATTGTTTTGAACTACCCATTACAAAACTTTTTTTTTTAAATTGTATATTGTGCTTATAAATATATTATTTGGATGTGCATTTCTGATTTGGAAATAATGGCAAAATGATGCTTAAATTTTAGCTTTATACTTCTTTAAATTTGTATATCAATAAAAAAAAAAAAAAAATTGTATATCAATACATTTTTTTCCTCATACAGTACGAGAAAATTGTTAAATTTGCAAAATTCCAATAAAGAAAAATAATAATGTGGGCTCTGAAAATTTTCACCCTAGCCTCCCCTACTTTCAAGAGAGTTTTAACGAATTAAGTTTCAAGGTAAATTTTCAAAAGGCAGATTGGGTTTGAAATAAGACAATACCTAGAGATTTCGCCCTCATTTTGAGAGGACTTCAAATTTGAGTTTAGGTTTCCTATAGGCGCAATCCCCTATAGTTAATTACCCCTCCCGATAGTGAGAGAGAACTTTCGATTAAGACTAGTCATCAAAATAGATACATAGAGAATATGTGGTATCTGATGTATACTAGCAGCACAGGTTTAGTTGTTGAAAATTTAATATTTAAAATTAGAAATGCACCATCTTTCACTTAAAGCGAATGGTGGGGGTGGGAGGAGTGATGATGAGCCCTATCAAGATCTCATGATTCCGTCATCTCGGGCCATCATGTTCCATCATCCTGGGCCATCATGTTCTCTAGTCTACTTAGTCAGAGGAGGTAGTTGACCCAACCTTACAGAAGGATCCTTGTTAGTAGTCATGAGTTGTTTCGTCCAAGAGTACCTTGTAGATATGAGATAAGTATTTGTCTAAGATGATACATTTAAATCTACCTTAGCTAATAAAGGGTTTTGTGCCCTATCGATTATATCCTATTGATTCACATCTCAATGATTTAAAGCCATTGGGGAGCATACGGGCTATGACCGTAATCGTAATATAGTGGAATGTTGGACTAAAAAACTAGGTCAGAGGGTCGCGGTCGCATTCATTAACCACGTGGAAGCAATCTGGCCAAACCACGGGTTCTTTGCGGAGCCATTAGGCCAACCTGCTGATTAGAGGACCAGTGTCACGTCCTTACTAGTATGAGATTATTTGAGAATAAATGCTAGTTATATTCTCAACCATACATTAATTTTTTGTGAGCTGAGTCATTTTCAAATTTATCCACCTCAACAAATTATTGCGAATTGTGGATGAATTTTGCTTTAAGCGTTTGATAATTAATTTCAATTTTAAATATTTTGAATTTTGGTTTTTTTTTGGAATTTTGAGTTTTCATGGGCATTTGGGAAGTCTTCATAAATATTTGGAGTTAACCCATCCGGTTGAGATCTATATTCAACATGGCCATCATCGAGATATTTATGGAAAATTGCATTTTATTGATTGAATTTTGTCAACTCTGTTTGTTTGCCGACAGAGGATCAGGTTCATTGTAGGTTTTATGCCTTTATTTAGTGAATTTTGCTATTTATTAGCCTTAAAGGCATAATATGGAAGTATTAAAAGAAATATCTATTTGATTGATAGTTTAAATCATGTCAACTCCTATCTACTCTCTTCTAAAAGGATTGGGATCGAATTTGAAATTATTATTTAGCCAGCCCAGCATCCTCAGACGCACGTGTCTACCCATAACACGCTTGCCATAGCCCATATGGGTATTTAGGGGGCATTTTTTTATTTATCTATTGAATATTATCGACTCTATCTAATTGCTAACATAGGGTTAGGTTCATTACTAGCTTTATGTCGTCTATCAATGAATTTTTCTTATAATAGGCCTTAAAGACCTAATATGAATATATAAAATAAATATCTCGGTTGATGCCACAACCATATATTTATTTGTTCGATACTTTAAAATGTGATGACTCTTATCTATTCACATAGGAGGCTTGGACCCGAACCTAGGTTCATTATTTTTTTGACCTGTATAGCATCCTTAGACGTCACGTATATAAGTATAACACACTTGTTGAGGCCCATGTAGATATTTAGTGGGCATTTTAAGATATTTGACGCTGATCAGCCATGTGAATGACTAACATTTGGTTGTGCACAACCCTACATTTAGAAGATAGTAGACGCCTTCTATCTGCTTGTATGAATGTTGCGGATTTAGTGGTGTGGCGCTATGTCATGAATTTTTTGTTGTTTCCTGTAGATTAGAGATGTGCAGAGTTTCACTTGAGAATTTGTACATGCCTTATGTTCACTTGTATGTATATTGCAGATCAGGTAGCATGGTGTTGTACTTCACTTATTACGCGTTGTCAGTGCAGTTTAGCTCACTTCATCTTCTGCGCATTGTCTTTACTAATATGTTGTGTATTAGGATTAGCAGACATCTTTTGTCTGCTTGTATACATGTTATGGATCCGGTGGCATGACGTTTTTTTCAGTGAGATTTGTAAACATCTTATATCAGCTTGCATGGATGTTGCAGATCCGATGACATGATGTTGCAATATGGTTTTTTCCCGTTAGTTCTTATAGGTAGACTATCATGCACTAACAAGTTTCTTGCTATGGCTTGTGAACGCTTGCATTTGTTGTGTATTATCTAGTGTCTGGTTGCAGATAACATATGGTGCATATAATGGGTCTTCTACAACTACTGTAGGGGCTTGTATTCGTCGCATATCTTTCGTCATTGCCAGTAAGATATGTTGCACAGATACATCTATTTATGAGCACTATAGGAAAAAAGCTCATTTTCGACAAAATTTTCGACGGAAGTAAATTCGACACAAATTCTGACGGATTTCCGACAGATTTTTTTCAACGAATTTCCGACATAATTTTTGACTGGTTTTTCGACGAATTTTTTTCGAAGACATTTTTGGCGGAATTTCAGGCAGAATTTTCAACAAAAATTAAAAAAATAAGTTATATTTTAATAACTTATTGTCAAATTAAATTATTTAAATTAAATATTTTTTATTTTAAAATATAACTTAAATTATTGAATTTACTAACTTAAATTATTAAATTTAATAACTTAAATTATAATAAAATAAATTATAATTTAATTATTTAATAACAAAAAATTAAATGATTTAAATTTAAACTTAAATTATAATAAAATTTTAAAATTATTTATTTTGTTAAATTAAGTTAATTAATTTAAAAAAAAATTAACTGATTTAAGAATTAATACATAATAGGTTAAGGTTTCATGAGTAGTTGGCAGATGCAGCTCCTGCGCTTGGGAGAGGAGGTGGGCGGAGTTCGAACCCCGCCTTCGGCGGGCAGGTCCACGGTTCATGCGGGTAGGCGGTCAAGGCGGGCTGGTGCGGCTTGCACTCGGTCGGGCGGGCTGGGAACCTGGGGTGGAGCAGCGGGAGCAACTGACCGGTCAGCTGTGTAAATGAATTTTTTTCTTGACATTTCGGAGTATAAAAAATTTGACAGAAATATTTTTCCACCAAAAATTTCATCGGAAATTCGGCGGAAATGTTTCCGACGAATTATTTTGCGCTGGAAGTCCTTTTACGACTCCCGTGAAACCGGCGAAAATATTTTCACCGAAAATCCGCCGGAAATGCAATTTTCTGATGGATTTTTGGCCATTTTCTGACGAAAATGGCCGCCGGAAAATGACGTTTTTCTTGTAGTTGAGGCATGTTGTGTCGGACACGTGTCGGATATGGATACACCTCCGATACGGCACGGATACATGTCGGATACGGCTTTCCCTTGTCCAATTAAAATATTATTTAAATTTGATCGGACACGCGTATCGTTGGGTACTCGGTACTGCTAAGTACTCGGTATTGCTCAGTACTACTCGGTACTGTTTGGTACCGCTCAGTACCAAGCGATACTAGAACTCAGTACTTCTCGGTACTCGATACCGCTTGGCACTGCTCGGAACCAAGCGATACTAGAACTCAATAATGCTTGGTACCGGAACTCGGTATCACTCGGATACCGCTCGGTACCACTGGTACTGCTTGGTACAGAGGGGTATCGAATGGTACCAAGCAGTGCCGAGAAGACAGAGAAAACTTTAAAGCAACTCTTATAATAAAAATTTGTTCCCCGCGAGGGGGCAGTGCCCCCTTGGACCCCCGGCATAGGCGCAACTAATTGTGTCGATCCTTCTTACTTTTAATTAAAAACTTCATGTGCTGGATAATTTATGTTTATGCTTTTGTTGTTGTACTAGACAGTTAAATATTTAATGCTTACTTTTATTTTGATATTATAAGATACAATGCTACAAATGTTGTTGCCTTCATTTTTTTGTCTTTTCAAATATTATGCTTTGATTAATTTGTTGTTTTTAATGTATGATTTATATATTATAATGATGTATCTGCGCCGTATCTGTATCCTGTATTTTTAAGAATTTTCGTGTCCCATATCCGTATCGTGTCATATCCGTGTCGCCGTATCCGTATCGGTGCAACATAGCCAGTAAGTGTTACATTCATTGCAGCTCTTTTTGTGTTTATTTGTAGATAAAGCACTACATATGTTAAGGGTCTCCTACATTGCCCTATAGTTGCTCGTATTTGCTATGTATTGTATGATTTTACTTGTAGAGGACCAGTGTATTTAGCAACCATTACATAGTTGCTTATTGTGAAGGTGCTGCCATATTCATCGCCTTTGGCCACAACAGCTTGTAAGTGTTTATTTTTGCATTACATATATGTTGCATTTGCTCGTAGATGATGTGTTATGTGTTCACATTCACAAAGGATCCCCTCCTTGTAATATATCCTTGCCATTGCTTGCATGCCAATTAGTATGCTCATTTGTAATTTGGCGTTGATTGTTAGTTGAGCTA